TGTCGTTCAGACTGTCATAAAAAGATCAGATACAGGTCACATATGGGCAAAAAAATCGGAATTGAGCATTAAGGCCTGCAGTGTGAACATATCCAAGTGGCCTGGGTCGCATTTGAAAAAATCCGATCTGTGTCGTTCAGACTGTCATAAAAAGATCAGATACAGGTCACATATGGGCAAAAAAATCGGAATTGGGTCACTTCAGGCTGCAGTGTGAACGTAGCCTAAGAGTCTTCAGTGAAATCAAAGATAAAAAAACAATTTTAATAAAACCTTATCAAATAATCAATTGATGTATATATTAGTGCTTGTAAATATCAATTTTACACAGAATATTCATGATAAAAGCAGGTAAATAATGACAATGGAAAAGATTTACGCCCCAGAACTCAAAACTATGCCTTCTATCTAGAAATAAGATGTTTAAATATATGTGTCTATTTGTTAGCAAACGCTGTAGGAAAGTATATTTGTCTTTATTTTGAAAATATGGATGTTTCTTTTTTATTTTCCAGTTGGAAGAGTGTAGATTGACCCTGAGGTTCTGGTGCCTATCCGCTTTCGGCCACCCCTCAGTGTACATTGGTTATTGCCTGGCCACCCTTATAAAAGATTTCTGGCTACGCCCCTGGGGTCATGACCCTGACATTTGGGAATAGATGGTTTATCCTACCAGATCCAACTTCTTTTGTTCTAATACAACATAAGGACAAGAAGAGAGAAAGGAAAAACCATGTGTGTACTTTGAAAGAGGTGATACTTTGGAATCAAGAGGAAATGTAAGTAATCCGCTGGTTTATGTGGTTTTCTTTTTTATTTTATTTTTGGTCCTACATATGAGGACAAACTGGTAACCAGTCCCTGTTTTCTAGGAATTTAATAAAGTGAAAGCTTGGATGCTTTCTAACAGAGGAATGTTTTCCGTGTTCGTTAAATGCCTTTGTGTTGTATTTGCGGTGGGATGGTTTTCATTGTGGGCGGTTCGTTTGGACTCAGAACCGAACCTCCATCCAGCCACGTAAGCATCCCAACATTCAGCCGCCTGATGCAACAATTTCTAAGCTTACAGAAAGAAAAAGCTGCTGTCATCAGAGGTTACCTCCTCCTCAGCGTCTAAAGCGGCTTTTTTCACTCCAACTGTTTAACGGTTGGTGTGAAGGTGACGCACGCGCGCCAAAGGTGTCCATCACTTCCAGACAAGATGAGCGGAACCGGAGCTGCTTCTAACTTCTGACAGCTGACTCTAACAGGCCACAGCAGCCCCCCCCACCGGCCCCCACCTCAACCTGTCAGCTCAACTTCAAAGAGCCGCGCACTCACCGATGATGATAGCGCACGCGCTCAGGAGTCCGATTTCCTTTTTCAGGGTAACTTTGTCATCGTTGTTGGCGTTTTCATCCTTCCTTCTCTTCTCATTGTCACCCATCTCTCCCTCTGTCTCGCCGGTCCGCTTCCTCTTCCCCTCAGTCCGGTTCAGTTACTGTAGACTGAACCACGCTGCACGCGGCCGCCCGGATGCGCTTATTATATTGAGTAGATGAGGGGCGGGGGGGCGCGCATGCGTCACAACCTCCAACTTTGTTTCAGGTAGGCGTTGATGTAGAGAAGTGTCAGAGCATCTGAGCATAGAGACAGAACAAAG